CTATCGGTATGCTGTTCATTCCTTTTTGGCGTTCTGCTCAACGACTGAATATATGTATGCATACTTATGTATGTATGTATGTATGTATGTATGTATGTATGTATGTATGTATGTATGTACATATGTATATATGTATATATGTATGTATGTATATATGTTTATATGTATAAATGTATAAATGTATATATATATATATATATATATATCGGTCAGTAACTATTCATAGCATCATTCGCTCAGTCACTCGATTGGGATTCCCTCATTTACTTGATATGCCCTAATGTTACCAAATTATGTTCGCAAAATCCTGCTGAGCATCTGTCCGCCTGTTCAAGACTATTTTGTGTTCTTTGAGGAGGGGTGGTTGGCAGAAGCAGGAGCAAGAGAAGCAGCAGCAGCAGCAGCAGGAGCGAGAGCAGGAGCAGGAGCAGGAGCAAGAGCATATGTGACACTAGAGGTAAACACCTGTAATTTCAAAAGCACTTGTCGAGTTTCTAGGGTTTTTTCCGCGTTTCTAACGAGGGGGATGCGACTAAATTGTTGTATGGAATGAGCGAATGAAACGACTGGCTGACTGCATGGGTGCATTTTTCGCACGAATCACAGCAACAAAAAATGTTATCATGAATGAAGGACGGAAGGATGGAGTGGTGGAATGACTGAAATTCATGAAATGCAAAACTGAGTGAATGAATCAATGACTGAACGAATGGAATGTGAGCGAGTGAATAACTGATTGAAGGAACGAAGGACTGGATGAAGGAATGAAGGGATGCATGAAGTAATGAATGATGCAATGAGTGAAGGAATGAATGAAGGAATAAGTGATGCAATTAATGATGGAATGATTGATGCCATGGATGAACCAATAAATGATGGAATGGTAGAAATGAAGGAATGAACCAATGCAGGAAGGCATGAATGAATGGAGCTAGTGAAGGAAGGACGAAAGGAAGGAAAGAATGAATGAATGAATCAATGTCATGATCAAGTACATGCCTGAACGGTTGATTGAATTAAAGAAATTTTAAAGACTGAATGATTGCATGAAACATATACCTAGGGATGAAATATAGAAAAGTATGAAGGACGGAAGCAAGAAACCAATAAACGAGGCACCAGCGAATAATTAACGCAAACATGAGGGAATCAATGAATGAATGACGCGAATGACATGGCATGTAGTCGAATGTAAGGGCATGTAACGGAATGTAATAAACGGTCACAGAATGGAACGGAATTGTCGAACAAAAGAATAAAGTACTGCGAGAATACATGAATCAATGAACCAATGAACCGATGACTCCAAAGGTCGTTGACTTGACTTGACCTGACTTGACTTGACATGACATGACATGACATGACATGACATGACGTGACGTGACGTGACATGGCATGGCATGGCATGGCATGGCATGGCATGGCATGGCATGGCATGGCATGGCATGGCATGGCATGGCATGGCATGACATGACATGAACGACGAACGAAGGAACGCATGAACGAATGCGCGAATGGACGTTTGAACGAATGGCGGAATGAATGAACGACGGCCTGGCTGACTGATCGACTGAATCCATGTCTGAGCGGATGATTGGATGTATTCAATGATAAATAAACGTACTATTGTAAGTTCTAGGCAGTGGAAGAACGAGTGATGGTTAACTACTGGATGACTGAGTGCACGAGAGAACGAGCAATTGCGTCGATATGACTGGCTGACTTCATGAAGGAACAAACCAATGAATAAGTTGGATGCCGAGTCGAGGAAGCAATGGATGCAAGAACGGATGAGCTCACATACACGCAACGAAATGAAATCGCATCTGGTGAGCGCATGCCACGAAGCAAAGCAATAAAAGGAATTGCTGGGTGAACGAACGAACCATTCTGCTCTAATCATGAAATCATCGACCCATGGCAGATGAAGTAGTTATTTTATGTGAAGTTGTGTACAAGAATGAATGGGCTGACAGGAAACGAAGCGACATGCAAGGGAATGACATGAACTGATTGAGCTGAGGAGTGCATGCAGTGATGAAAGAATATGATGGAATCCACTTACTTATTCCGTGAGCGAATGACATAACGGATGAATGAGTTTAGAGCCAACATGATGAGACATAGTGACGCTCCCCGGTCCTTGTTGAGGCGGCTTCCCGCTTGCTTCTGTTCTGGGTTCCGGAGCTGCATCTCCTGCCAGGATAAGCCCGAGCAGAGCATTCACGTCACAGGTAGCCAATAGCCCATCCGTCTGATCGGAGCACTACCACAGCAACAGTCATCGCATGGCTGGTAGGTGCAGCACAACAATGACCAAGTACATGCGTGTTGGTGACGAAAGTAGAATGGCTTATGACAAAAGGAACCTCCAATCCTTGCTTGCACTGTTGCCTGCTTGTCGGCCATTCTGCCAATGCATGTATTCAAACTTGTGAGCGAGTGGTCTCTGTCTGCGCTATTTGCGTTTGGCCGTGCCTTGCACAACACGAAGAGCTCGGACCGCCGCCTGCAGGCCACGGGTGCCGAACCCACTGCAAGGACACAGCGTCTCACTGTGCTCAGAGAGTTGCAGCGCTCTAGGTGGTGTTTAGAGGCAGGGGCGGGGCTTGGGGCATTTGCATTTCGATGCAGGTTTGAGAGGTCGAACTGTCGTTCCTGACCGTGCTAGATTTGTGCAGAGCATTTAACTCCACTCTTGGAGTTTATGCAGCTGGACCGTGCTATGGTTGCTTAGGCCCGAACCCGTCTAAGGCCGAACTCGGAACGGAGCCTGTCCAAATCACCCAAGCCGAAAAAACGCCCTCACAGCAGAGCATCCTTCATTCCCTGCAAACCCCGAACTGCGTGAACCCCCCCTTTTTTAATTGCAACCACCCAAAAAAAGCCAGCCGTCGCAAATCCCCACCAGCCCTTCACCCGCTAAGCAGGATTCGGCTCCAGCTACCCTCCGGCGAGCGCCTGCAACGGAACTTTCGAGCAGACCAGTGTTTGGAAGAGGCTCCATAATCTCTTCCCCCTACTGTAGGGCCCTATGGTACTCCTCCCCGCCCCTCCCAGTACATGTTTATTATCAACGGCTTTGGCTTTCCATCTTGCATTGCTCAGACTCAACTCGCAGATTCGAGCACACACGCGCACTTGCAAATCGTAAGGTTTCGGATGCGGGGGTAATCCTCTATCCTAAACTAGGCTGAGCTATAATTAGGTCCCCAATCCTGCACCCTTGGGCGATACCTAACGTCTCTTTCACTGGCCCTAATTGAACAGCAGTCGTGGCCCTTCGAAACTCCGCTTGGTGTGCATTGCGGCCCAAATGCTGTCCGAAAACAGCGTCGTGTAATACTTGGGGGAGTTCCATAATAATAAGCAATAACAAGTGAGTATTATTCATTCGTTCTACAGTATAGTAAGCTCCGGACCCTGAAAAGGGCCCTCGGGATTCGGCCACACACGTCGGTCCACGGACCCGGGGCGGACCTGCGGGCCCGTGTGTCCATGGGCCTGTTGGTCTTAATTTAACTGCGGTGTTCCTGGGAACGGCCTTTCTCCGGGATTCGGGGCTTGCTACTTGAAGCTTCGGGTTGTATTCGTAGGATCCGCCGCTTGTTTATGTTAGAAAATGCCAGGTGCCGTTGTTGCTGATTGGATCATTATGGTTTGGGGGATTGCAGGTCCAGACTGCGCTGAAGGTTTCTTTTGCAGTGTAGGGCTGCAGGACGTATCTCCCATTCTAGGATCTGACGTAGTGTGAAACTAAAGATTAAGCTAGGCCTGCGGTCGTGCGATTGGGGTCCGGTGCACTTGGTTGGGTTTGCCGATCGAGTTTGGGTGTGTAGTAGGCTTCCGACTGCGGGGTTGAAGCACCAAACGGTTCGTCTATACAGTCCATTAGATTAGACTGCGTTAATTAAGACTAGATCAGGTTAGATTACGTCACCTTAGCCTGTATTAGAGGTTACGTTAGGTGGTTTGACGATATAAATTAGATTCTGCTAGGTTAAGATATTATAATGCAATACACTTCAATTTTCTTTATCCTATCGTATTCTGTTCTGGCCTGTTGTAGTCCATTCTCCGGCATTATGCTATATTGTAGTCTAGTGTATTATACGCTACTGTGTTATTAATATAATTCCTAATTATTAGAGTATAGTAATTTCGATTACACTATATGAAGTTTTGTCATATTGTAACATAATATAATACTAGGTTGTACTAGAATAGTTCGTTGTAAATGGTATTGCACGACTGTATTTTGCGTTACTGTATTGTGCTGTGCTATCGTACATTCTATTACGTTGCAATATTTCGTATTTTACTATGCTATATTGTGGTGTTCATGCTTTATGTTCCATCCTATGATAGATCTGATCGTGTTTAGTGTATCGTATCATGTGAAAATATGTTGTATTACATTGCATTATAGTACAGTACAGTTCCTATTATGATATCCTATTTATGTTTTATTCTATGCTTTGATACTAAATGATGTGTTCTATTCTGTTGGACTATGTTGCATCATAATGTACTATGTTATGCTGTATTAGATGATGACATCTGATATAACTTGATATCATATGATATCATATCCCAGTAGTTCCATTCTCGTCCATTCTAGTATGTTCCATGTTCTGTTCTGTTCTGTTATTACATCGTGTATGATAGTATGCTGTACTACGTCGTACTATTTTACATTATGTTATTGCGTTTTGTGACCTGATAAGCCTTAACATATATCGTTGAGTCATGCTATATTGAAGTGTCACATTGTGTGACACCATGTAGTATTACATGGTATTTTGTAGTACTGCATAGTAATACACAGTACTACTTAAACTTATTTTGGTGTAATGTACCATTGCATAAGCTTGTATTAAGTTGTGATATGTTGTATGTATTTTGTGTTCTACTGTAGCTATACTGTGTTAAGTTGTCGTATCTCGTACTAAATTGTATTCTCTTGTATTGTAGCGCACAAGTAATTTTGATAAGTAATGTATTGTATTGTCTTGTATTCCATTGTAATGCAACGTATTGTATTGTACTGGGTTATATTATTGAGTTGAGTATAGGTTAGTTTTATGTATATATGCGTATATACAGTATACAGGTTATACGTCAACGAGAATGCACGAAACATACAGGCCACCACACCGTACACTTTTCTTGAGAAAGGACGTGCGCATCACCTCCGCTGAATATTTTTCCTCGGAGCTGAATTTACGGTGACCTTCTATAAATAAGTGGGCGGCCAAGCCCCCGGAGCCACAGAGGCAGTATAGAAGTTCTGTTTAAAATCCTATAAGGGTGGAGGGGCGGAAGGTAGGTGGCTCGGGCCAGAAGCCAACCGAGGTAGTAAAAAATATCTGTTTAGGTGTTTAAAAATGCGCTTAACAATCGAAAAATCGCGAGAAGACAATGCACGAAACATACAGGCCACCACACCGTACCCTTTTCTTGAGAAAGGACGTGCGCATCACCTCTGATGAATGTTTTTCCTTAGAGCTGAGTTTACAAAGAATCAAGTGTCTACAGATCTACACTGCGAGGTCTACGATTGGGCGCACTGCTGCCGCCCACAAGCAAAGCCGAAGCGCTTCGAGCAACCTGGCCTGGAAGCAGATTTCACAGAGGCTTTCAGCTGGGAGCGCTGCGCCCACAAGGCGTTTAAGTTTGTTCTGAAGCAGCGTCGCAGATGCTGGGCTCTCGTTTCGAAGTGGCGGTAGGTCAACGGAACTGGGCAGCGACAAAGCCAAACGCTCTGTGCCCGTTTGGCAGGACTTCAGGCAATGTAGGGGGCACTATCAGCCCAAGTATGTCGTTTTGCCATGTTGTGCTGATGTGTACTTAACCTGTGAGTTGCCCGTCGCGCGATACCTGGTTCTAGCATGCTGGGTTTCGAGGCCGTTGGTTTGACATCAGAGATATCTCCCTTATAGTAGTTCGGCTGATGTGCTAGTGGAGGAGAAGTAGACGTAGATGAGGGTGACATAGATGTTGAGATGTAATTGTTGGAGAAACTTCCGCTTCAATCGCTCTAGCATCCCGTTATCTCTGTCGTTGTGTTGTGCTTCGTACCGCTTTGAGCTCAGGCTTTGCATCAGTTTTCCGGCCAGAACTCTGACAGAGCGGCCAGGCTCTTGGAGGACTTTTGGTCTTGTTTTTGCATCGTGGGATGTTGATGCCATGTTTGGGACCCTATAGACAATCGTCACGGCGCAACTCCTGACCGGGAGTGCATGCAAGAACATGCATATATGCATATGCATGCATCCGTAAACACAGAGTTCATTGTACATGGAAACACGGCACAACAAGGGCAACTTCACTTTGTCCGTTGTTCGCAGGCGGGATTTAGAAGTCTCCGCCGACCGTGCGTTTACTTCTTGTCCGTCTTCGTCGGTTCAATCGTCAAGTCCGCCTGAAAAACACGTGGGCAACTCCACAGTAACTATTTTGGATTCGGGCCAGCTCGAAATTTGGCAAGCTTGCTGGAATACTACACAAAGCTCAACAGAACTTTCATGGGCAATGCTAAGGTCAGCCACTCTCCAGGACGGGTGGGGGTATTTCGGTGCGCATCGCCTCCCTGTTGTGTGTGCGAATGAAGGCAGTTTACATGATGAGTTAGATGTAGTCACGCTTCTTCAGACCTGTGAAATACAGGTCAGCACCTATAAGCCACCGCGACCTCTGACTGCAGAGTCGGCTGTAAGATGCGATGCAGTCTTAATTGTTTGGAACTTTCGCATGGAATGACAAACTCTGATTAAAGTCTGTCCAGATGCTTCAACGCAGGAGTTGGACTTGGTTCCCAGTGCTGCGCTGGTGCTGCGTGAAGCAGAAAGCTAGAGCGGGCTGTAGACGCTGATGCTTGCGCGTGACCAACTTCCAGAATAAAGGAGGACAGTCCTCAGGAGCACGCGAAACTGGCCTAGATATTGATACATAGATGGTAATGAAACACAACCGTATCCTGACTTACGTGGCAATTATTGATGAATCACACTCCCACCATAGTGCCGCGCGCATTCGACTCACATCGCCCTGGGTTAGTTGTTTTTGCTCAGTCGTATCTTTTGTTTGTTGCATAGTCGTATTCTTCGTGCCGTTCAGCAGGCGGGAGGGGGGGTGGGCGAGGCAACTAAGCGCGCACCCTAAACCCACAAACCCTAAACTCTAAACCCTAAACCCCTAAACCCCTAAACCCCTAAACCCTTAACCCTTAAACCCAATAAACCCTTAACCCTTAAACCCAATAAACCCTAGACCCAAAACCCTCAGCATCTTGAACCTCGCATTTAGTTAGGGGCGCCGTTTAACTAAGCGTGCAGCCGAGTCCTAAATAAACCTAGGCCTAAACCTACAAACCCCTATAGCCGAAACCCCTAAACCCTACAAACCCATAACTCCCCCAAAAGCCCTAAACCCTCGTAGTTCTCTCTAAACCATAAACCTTCCTCATGATGCAGATTGCAAGGTTTGAACACTCTACAGAACCCCAAGTGGTCACAAACGGCAGATGCTGTATTTCACAGCATTTGCGGTTTGTGATCAAAACTTAAGTTATACGTAAGCAAGGGTTTTTGGTATCCTTCCTGCTGAAGCAGACCCAAGAAAGCACGAGTAAGCACAACAAAAGTCACGACTAATCAGTTCCACCGAAAATGGCAAAAGTTACGACCAGGCAAAACAAGAGCGTGCTCCTTTTCAAAATCCAGTGCCCCACGATGGTCGTGGCCGATGCAGTGTTCATTCGAACGCCCAAGACTTAGGCGCTACCGATATTGATGAGTCGCACTCCCACCACAGTGCCGTGCGCAGAAGGAAACCGGACAATCCCGCCTTCACTGCAGTCCTATATTATAGAGGGCCGCAGTATTCGCCTCTTCCTTGCCTGGTGTACCTACACTAAACCCTAAACCCAGTGGCGAGTCCACGCGAAAGGTTTCGACCCCAAGGCTTCAGGGCGAAAGCTCGGCGTATGCTTTCTCACTCAGGTTTCGGGTCTGGGGCTACCGTAGGTGGATTTCGGAATTCACGCTGTTGAAAGTGCATCGGCTTTCGCTGCCTGCATGATTTATCGCGACATGTTAACTCAGCGGTAGAAAAGCTGCCCATGACAGCAAGCTTGGATGGCGGTGACGCTGCTGAATACGACCAGCCGAAGACAGTGCATCAGATCCAGACGTGTGACGCGGAGCGGCATCAGCCGAAACACGCGCGCCATAACCACGCCTCTGCTGGTGCTCTACAGTCATTCTGGGCTGAAGGATCTGTCGTGACCTTGGACGTGCAGACGATTGTGGTGCCAGCAAAGCGGTGCCGGATCAGCTGAAGTCTCAGCAGCACATCGACGCCTGTGCCGGTGCTGCTCCCGCCAGATAGGATCCTCCGGACGATGTTGGTGGCGCCCCACTGCACAGTAGCAGCTGGACGCATGCATGAAATCAGCGGGATCGGATCCGACGTGATTTGGGGCTTGGCAAGGGCAGCACACGGCAGCACTGTTGGATCAGCCAGCCGAAAGCTTTGCGGCTGTGAAAGACGAGCTAGTTCCCGCACTCTGTCTTGAGGCTGCTCCGTGCCTGTGCCTAGAAGGTTTCGATGCGGATCATTGAGCAGCTGGTGTTGCAACAGCCCATGGCTTGCGACACGCCTGTTGACCGAAGAGGGTCCATTGAAGGCTCGTTGGCTGACGGCAGCCGGCTTACCCCAACATCTAGTTGCCCAGCCTTGAACACCTAAACTCCGGAATCCAGAAGCGTACGGCTCAAGGCGCTGATCGAATCTCCGTGTAATTTGCAGCAGGCCGCTTCGTAGAAGGGCCATGTCCTCGGCTCTACTGGTGGCTTTGGCCGTCCTGGCTGTCGGGCAAACTGGCGCTGAGAGGTCGGATGATAGGGGCTTAGGTTACATAAGGGGTCGGGTCTAGCAGTGTGAACCAACGCAGCGAAGCACAAATACCGCCTCTCTCTCCCCCTTTCTCTCTCTCTATCCCTCTCTCTCTCTCCCTCCCTTTTCTGTCTGTCTGTATCTCTCTCTGTATATACATATGTAAATACGTGCATGTATAAACTAGTATGTATGTATATACATGCATGAGAATTGATCTAAAGGGCCTTGTCACAGCTGTTTACCATGCCTCCGCGAAAGTTCCGTGATGACTCCGCTAACGAAAAATGTTTTTTTGCGAATGGTATTGCGTCAGCCTACTTGCCACTGCTACTATCCACTAGTACCAGTACGAGTACTACTTGTACTACTTGTACTAGTCTTTCTACTACTGCTACTGTTACTGCTGCTACTGCTAATGCCACTCTACGGCTACTGCTACTGCTGCTCCCGCTCGTGCTCTTACTACTGCTGCTACTACTACTGCT